TCTTACCATGGAGTATAGGAAGCGGCAATGAAGAGATAGATCACCATTCTGTCACACATGTGGAAACAGTGCTCCACTGTCCTGGAGGGAAACGCAAGTTAGACAGTTTCCAGAAATTCTTCAGACTGGCAGTAGGGGTTATCACTCCACTACCCTGCAACCTCCACTTGTGTTCCAGTGTCTCATGGCCGGTCTGCCTTGGCCTTCAAGGTCACATGGTATTTTTTTTCAAATTTTGATTTTATTTATTTTTGATGTCCAGAGCAACACTATTCAGAATAGCAACAAACAAAACTAAAAAGAAACTAGTAACAGACTAAATGCTCATTCACAGACTGAGAAATAAGATTATGTAAGTACTTGGAAAATTATAAGTAATAGTGGAGGATGCCAGAAGTACACTATAAAAACTGAGTTTTAACATAGGTTTTTTTAAAAATAGCTTTTTCTTTTAAATTTCAGAGTTATTTATTTTTTTTAGTTGAGGTATACACGCAGCTATTCTTTTTTTTTTTTTTTTGCAGGGGGTAGGTAATTAGGTTTATTTATTTATTTGATTTTTCAGTGTAGCTATTCTTTGTTTTTCTTTTTGGTTTGGGGAGGTAGTTAGGCTTATTTATTTCTTTACTCTTCGAGGAGGTACTGGGGATTGAACCCAGGACCTCATGCATCCTAAGCATGAGCTCCACCACCTGAGCTATATCCTCCCCCTCTACACACAGCTATTCTTAATGATCTGAAGCCACAAGTAAGAGCTTTGTATTATTTTAAGATTGCACATACATACCACAGACCCTCAACATGTATGAGATATAGGAACAGAACCCCACAATAATCAGGAACTTTGAAGTGGAGAAAAGTAACAAACAAAACCTGTCTTTTCTGATGTGTTCCTTTCCGTTTGGATGCTAACAGAAAAATGAAATTCCTTCAGGGTGGACCAACTCACAACCCCTATCACAGTGCAGAGCAAAAATTGTCCAGGCTCTTTCCTTCTAGAATGTCTTTTGAAGAAGCTTTTATTCCAAATATCCTAGTGCAGACAGTAAGTTGTAATAAAGCAAATTTAGAAACTAATTAGGAACAGCAATAACACAAACCAGGAAAGAAAAAAAAAAAAGCGTTGTTTGCTGCCAAAGAGGGTAGCCACCTGGGTTTCTAAGCAAGTTCTTCCTTCCAAACTGAAGAGTCAGGAAGTGAACAGAGATCTGGCTGTAGGGGTCTGTTCAGAAAACGGATGAGACAGAATCCACCCTTTACAGAGGTGATTTAAAACTACAACTGCACTGCTTCCCCTTGGATCTGTTTTCAATGTCCAAGGGGCAGTGGCCATGGTCTGGGAG